TGTGTGTGTGTGGATATTGCCTTAAGGAACTAGACTACTACTTCTCATTCCCAAACTGGGTCAGTGAGCAAGTGGCCAGTTTTCAACCTAACAAGGAAGTGGTCAGTGGAGGGAGTGACTGACAAAGCACTGTGTCAGTATTCCTGAAAGTCCTTTCTATGTAACATTAAACCCAATCATTCAAACTAGAATGTGAAATGCAGTTTCAACTGGTGTAGTCATAGTCCAAAACACATTAGAAACAACCTGTTTTTTGTTTCATGTGAATCTGCTGATGATATCAATAAACATGGTTGCAAATTATGATAACCTGTCATAGTCACTTTGACAAAAGACAGGTGTAAATGACATAAATATATAATGATAAAGGATAAAAGGATAAAATAAATGGTAGTTTATAACACAGAATAGCTCATGCAAATCCATTAATCTAAAAGACACTCCAAATGATGCAGAGATGCAGACGTGTTATAAAAGCACTTAAGTCTTTACCTCAGACAAAGTGGAGCTGAGCTTCTTGCCCTCCTTTGCTTTTCCACCAGCTTCTCGTTGCTCAGGGCAACCAGGATCCTGAGAGTCCTCCACCCCAAACACCTACACATGACAAACACAACACATGCAGGAGAATCAAGAGCTGCTGCTCTTATTGGCGAGCTGTGACACAATGGCGGCACCTATGTGGCAAAAAGAGTTCAAATAGACACAGCTGCACAGACTCCATAGCAACAGAGCCAGAACAACATCTTAGGAAGGAACAAACTGGAAGTATTAATGTCAGTTCAATAAAGACACCTACACAATGTTGTTAAAAAGTAAACTTACGTCAGCTTTATTGACAGTCAGTCTATATAAAACTAATATTTCTGTCTATCCACCTGACTATTTACTGATCCATCCATCACGGCTGGATGATTTTCAATATTCACCATCACCATATATTTTTTATTAATTTGAAATTAATTTAACCTGCCTTTAATTTGGTTGTTCATTTCATTTGTTTGTTTCTTAAAAACTTACACTACCTGTTCAAAAGTTTGGGGTCAGTAATTTTTTTTAAAAATACTTTTATTCAGCAAGTACCCATTAAATTCATCAAAAGTGTCAGTAAAGATATTTAAAATGTTAAAGAATCAAAGAATCCTGAACAAATCACGTTTTCCACAAAAAATATTAAGCAGCACAACATTGATAATAATAAGAAATGTTTCTTGAGCAGCAAATCGTCATATTAGAATGATTTCTGAAGAATCATGTGACACTGAAGCCTGGAGTATTGACTGCTTGAGTAATTCAGCTTTAATTACAGAAATTAATTACATTTTAAAATATATTCAAATAGAAAACAGTTATCTTAAATTGTAATAATACTTCAAAATATTACTGTTTACTGTATTTTTGAACAAATAAATGCAGTCTTGGTGAGCATAAATGCCTTCTTTGAAAAAACATTTAAAAATCTTACCAACCCCAAACTTTTGAACAGTAGTGTAAATATCGAGATATCTATCTAGATAAATCCCCAGATGGCTGAAAATGTTAAGCATTTTTTATTCACCCATCATTTACAGCTGAAAACAACCAAATGTGCAACATTCTTATGTTTTTAATTGTATGTTAGACACAAATGCATGAACATTCATAAACACTAAGTAATAGCACACAGACGTGCATTAAAAGGCAAAGCTTTAAAACTCCCTGAAGATAAAATGAATAAAGGAGGAGTTGATCGGTTGGCCACATGAGAGCCGTTATAAAGCCATTAGACAGAGAGCTTCACAGCAAGATGCACTCAAACTGCTTGATGTTCAGAGACACATTTCCAGGACAATTACAACATTCACAATGCACTCAAGAGAGCATGTTGAGGATCATTACAGTGCTTGTAAGGCTGTATTGATATTCCTTAAACATTCTGACCTCTAATTTATAACCCAGAGTATTAAATGTATGCATTTAATAAAGCCAGACTCAATTCAAACATTGTTTGCACACAATTTCAGCCTTAGTGCTATCTACAGTATTTTTTTATTTTTTTTCTTCCACTGCTCACAAAGGGAAGTGACTCCCATGTTAATCTGTGAGTCTTGTGACGAGTGATGAGGTTTAATGACAGTGAACTACCATCCTCCACAAACCAAGCCAGCTGGGTGTTCACAAAAGGAAACATGTCCGTATACAGACAATATTTAAACACAACTGCAAAACTGCCCATTAAATTGATAGTTCACCCAAACTTTAAATTCTATCATCATTTACTCACCCTCAAGTAGGAATTTCTTTCTTCTGCTGAACACAAAAGAATGCTGGTAACCAAACAGTTGCCAGCCCCCATTGACTTTCATAGTATGGAAAAAACATACAATGCAATCAATGGGGACTCGTAAGGTGAAAATTTTCATTTTTGGTTGAACTATCCCTTTGAGACACAAATCATTCCCATCTCCTGCCTGATAAGCTCATCAGAACATTCATTCATTAATAAAGTATTTGATTTAATTCAGTATTGCTAATAATACTGTAAGTAGTCCAGATACAATGGTGACAGATCATGGTTTGGCTTTACCCATTATACAACACCATCACTTCACAATATTTCACATTCATTATGATAATCAACCAGGGTTATGGTTAGTTTTCATACCTTATCGATCATTCGGCGTGCCTCCTTTTCCTCAGCGTTGCTTTTATCCAGTTCAATGGTGTATGTTCCCTTGTCGCTCTGGTCGTCGTCTTGTTTCTGAGCCTCATCTGTGGGACTGGGTTGACCGGTAGTGGCAGGGCTCAGCACCCCTTTTGGGTTTTCTGATCTCTGCTTGAGCAAGAGTCGGGCAGCCGTGGGGGCGACCGCCGCTAGGGACGATGACATGCCCTTGCTGCCGTCCGCTGCCGTGGCGACGACCTTAGGATGTGAGGGTGGTGCAGGGCAAAGTCCCTCCCCTGCCACGCCTCCGAGCAGCGGTGCAGTCTGTGAAAACGAGTAGGAGCGCCGTTTGCGAGGGTTATCCTCGTCATAGAACTCGATCATGAAGGCTGTGCGGCTCACAGAAGACAACCCCTCTGTTTTGACCTGGCCCACTCCTGCGGCTCTCAGGCGCTCCTCCAGTGCGGCATGGCGTTTGCTGCCAAATCGCAATCCTAGGCCGTTTTCGGAATCGCTCTGCGTGCCATCCTCGTGTTTACTGCCTGTAACGGAAGATCGTTTTGATGGGTTATGGCAAATTTGCACACAGAACAGGGCAGTGCTTTCAACCAAGCATGCAACTTCAGATGCAAACCTAACCAGGGCTAACACAAATCCCCCATACGATTCACCCTGAGGCATTACAGTGGACTACAAAACCGGTTAAGTCTCTGGACGCTAACTAAGCCTACTTGAGAACACAGGAAAGAAAAGGCGAGGAAATAAGAAGTGGAAGAGGGGGGTGTCTATTCTTCAGCTTGGTCGGCTGAGGAAGCAGCATGCAGTCAGAAGTGACAGCCTCTGCTCTGGGAGACCGGGAGAAACAACTACACCACTCCAACAGTGGCCTTTCACGCACAAACCGTGAAACAAAGCAGCTCTTCTGCATCGCACAGCATGTTCTTTGAATGAGGAGAGCTGGCCCCACCAGCCCTCTATGAGTCAGACTGCATTTACTCTAACTAGTCCAATAACACCAAGCAAACACAAATTATACAAATACAGGAATTAACTTTTAGTATTGTTTCAGTGCCTCTAGTTCAAGCTCTGTATAATGTAAACTACCGTTCAAA